TTCTTGTCCGCTGCTCCTGCGCTTCATGTCCTGCCTTGACACTCGCCCCTCGCGGTCTCGCCTTTGCCGCCGCCACTGGCGCCTCGTCTTGTCTCGCCACTGCGTCTCGTTTCCTTGTCGTCTTCCCCCCGCGTCTTTCCCCCCGCATCTCTTCTCCGGGTTTTCGTACTGTTTGGTTGATCCTTTATGGGTGGATCCCAGTCCTTTGCTTCTGAGTGGGCTGGCCGTCCGCGTTTCACGTTGTCCACTCTTCGACCTTCTACGCCTCGACGTTGCGCGCAAGGTCGTGACGCCAATAAAGAGAAGTGCATTGTGTATGTGTGTATGTTTGCGTGTATGTGTAAGTGTAAGTGTAAGTGTAAGTGTAAGTGTAAGTGTAAGTGTAAGTGTAAGTGTGTGTGTGTGTGTTTGTCTGTGTGGGGGGGGGAGCTACGCGCGTTTGTGTGTATATGTACGCGTGGAGACCTGATGGTGGTGGATGCAGACTCCTTTTCCGCAATGGCTGTTCATCTCGCTGATGCTGCTGCTGCTGCTGCCCCCCAAACACCCTCATCTTCCTCATGACCCTCCCTCTCCCTGCTGCCGCTCCTGCTCTCTTCTCTTCGAATGGTATCGATTCTTCCCTCCCCTATCATGCCCCACCTTCTCATCCGCCTTGTTTTGCCCCCCTCTGCCTACTTCGTTTAAGCGTTTTCTATATAGTGTGCCCTCCCTCGCTCCTGCAGTTACTTCGAAACTTCCTCCTCGTGCTTCTGCTCCTCTTCCTCCGTCTCCTCATGACGCTCCTACTTTTCCTCCCTCCTCATCTTTCTCACCGTCAGTTTCGCCGTGGCCAGCCGCGTGAAATAGAACAAGGCTACTGGCAAGTCAACCAACTGATTCCCGTATGTCCTGCGGGTGGCAGTCGGGCACTTGACGAAGTCGAACATCGGCGCGAGATGTAGTTATTTCTCGACTCCGTATTGCAAGTTACGTGCCGTAGGAAGTTCTTGTAACCGCTGCCCATGGCCCGAGCAGCTTCATCAACTAGCGATCAGCACGAACATGTCCGCGATCGCCCAGTCCATCTCGAGAATGGTCTGCACCAGGCGGCCGAAGCGTAAAAACAATGTCGATGATGTATAGCATGCGTCCCAAGCGATTGATCGCCTGAATTGTTGCGTCGCTGCTCCCGTCCACAGCGACGCCGCTGGCCCGAGCTACCTCGACGCGGAGGCGGGCGGCCGGGTCCCCCGCCCCCGCGCGCCGTTTCCCGGCAGGTCGCTGATGTCATGGGCGACTCGCACTGCAACCCTGTCCATGCCCACCTGAATGGACTTCCCATGGAGGGCCTGCTGGACGGCTTGGACCTCAGCCTCGGAGGCGAGGAATAAGCGCACGCGTCCAGGGGAGGCGGCAGGGTCGGTTGCTGCAGGGTAGTGCCAATACCCTGGCCCAGCAGGACTGCTGGTGCAGGCCTCCGAGAGGGAGATCCCGACCGTCTGCGTGAGGTGCGTCATCAACTGGCGGTGAACCTGCAAAGCATCGTACCCCACGGAGCCCTCGATGTGGACCTCCGTGATGTTGCGGATTGGCGCCTCCTGTCCTAGCCTCCCTCCTTTCGTCCTCCTTGATGCCGTGAGCTGCTCCTGAGTGGCGTCTGGGAGAGCCCAATTGCGGCCTCCATGGCGCGAAGGGCGATATTTCAGGCGGAGGATGGCGTTCTGCGCGTCCTGCTGCATGAGCGCCGTCATCATCGGCTTCCAAGTGTCCGGCACGGCATCGGTGTGGAGCAGGAGCCTGTCGGAGCGGACCGCGACCATCTGAGTGCTGAGCCCCCACGCGTGTAGCGCAGCTCCAGCCCCTGTGATTTCGCAGATCAGCGACGACGCGTCCGCCAGCATGGCACTCGAGCCAAAGAACGCCCCTGGTGGGAGGGACGTCCGGCGGAGGAGGCGCCACAGGAGCTCCAGCTCGAGCGGGGTCGCCGAGGGCGGGAACGTCCACTCCATGCTGAGGCGTTTGCCCTCCGGGATCGAGAGCAGGCTGCGTCGAGGGGGGCTGGCCCGTGCGTGCTGCAAGGCGGGTGCTCCCAGCAGGCGGAGCACCTCGGGAAGGGCGTCCGCTGGGAAATCCAGCATGTAGCTGGGCGCCGCCTCCACGTGCAGCACCGGAGCCGAGGCCGCCAGCACCATCGGCGGGCGCCGGGGCATCTCCGCAGCTACTGTGAAGATGGCGAGGCCCTGAAATTCATGGCGTGGGCCATGCGATCCTGGGCGAATCAGGGCCTGAGGATCCACGGAAAACTCCAACCGCTTGACCATGGGGGCCCAACGTTCGCTGAGGAGGGGGTGCCACCATAGGTCCAAGATGGCCTCTGGGGTGTGACAGCCACGCGGAAGCTCCAATGGAGCAATGAGTCTGAAGTATGGTGGGCCGCCTGGCGCACCTGGCAGCGCCGCGTACGAGTTGAGCAGCCGGCCCAATGCTGACCTGTCACTGGGTGCCCACATGACCGCTGGCCGGCCTTCCAGTGCGGGCCAGAGGCGAGCGTCCCCCTTCTCTGCGAGCTCCGCGAGGCGGCGGCTGCGCTCTAGGCTCAGCGTGCCCCCATGGAGAGCCTGAGCCTCGGAGGTGGTCAGGAGGAGGTCTGAAAGCTGCGTGATTGCCACCTCCGTAGCTGCCAGGGCCGTGGTGCCGAGGAGCTGGAGTGCTGCTGCGCCGAGTTCCTGCCACAGGGGAAGGGGGGAGGGGCGCTGGCGGCGGCGTTCCCTCGCGATGTCCGGCAGCAGCTTGCTGCACTTGTGCAGCGCGGCATCGAAGGCCTGCACGGCGGCATCTGCGTGAGCGCGATCGGCCGCGGTCCATGATGGCGACGCCGCGGAGGAACACAGTAGGCGAGCCTTGCGCACTCGGATCTCGAGCCCATGGAGAGTCGGCTCAGGGCCCTCCAGAGGCGAGAAGCCCAAGCAGCGCCAGGGGCACTGCGCCTGTGGCTTGTACGCGAGGGTCTCGAGCAGGTCCCGGAGCGCAGCCCAGGTACTGAGGCTGCTGCTGGCGATCATCGTGATGGGCCTCGGCATCGTCAGGAAGATATCCCTCATTGCCTTCGCGTGCGGGCTCGACTACGACAGGCGCTCGGGGTGGTGCCGCCGCCGCCGCCGGCCTCGGCGGCTCCGCGGCTCCCGCCGCCGCCAGTGCCGATGCCTCCGCCCGCAGCCGCCGCGGCGCCGGTTGGAGGGCAGTTCCGGGGCGCGTTCTCGGTGACCACCTGGAATGCACAGGGCCTCTTCGCCGCGGTTCCGGGCCAGCTCCGCGCCAAGACACGGTACGTGGAGCACCTCGCCCGCCCCTACGACGCCATCCTCTTGACGGAAACGCACAGCTCGCCAGGGGCAGCAGAGGCGTGGCGAGGCCCGCGCGATTGCCGCGCATGGTGGTCCCACGGGACGGCCTCCCGGGCAGGCGTGGGGATCGTCGTGCAGGATCGCCTCCTGGAGGCATTCCCGGAGCGCGATTGGATTGAAATCGAGCCTGGCCGGGCTGCAGTGCTTCGTTTGGGTGGCCCCCAGGGCTCCTTGGATTTGGTGGTCGTCTACTTCCCGACTGGCTCCGCCCGCGCCCTGCATGAGCCCGCGCAGGGGCCGCCCGGGGATCGGCTGACTCTCCCACGCCAGCGGGCCGCCCTCAGGCTCAAGGTCGCGCGGGCGCTGCGCCCGGCGGTGAGTGCGCTGGCGGTCGTAGCAGGTGACTTCAATTGGGTGGTCGAGGACGCCGACAGAGCATCCTCAGAGCTCCGGCCCCCCACGGGCAGGCGTGACCGAGCCGAAGAGCGCCATTGGCAGCAGACCGCGCTCCGGCCGTTTTCTCTCCACGAGCTGCACCAGCCAGCTCTGACGCACCGCAGTGGCACCACGCGCTCGCGGCTCGACCGGATCTACTGGAATCAAGATGCGGCGGAACAGCTTGATCGCGACATTTACGCCGTTGCTTTGGAGTGGGTCCCGACGCTGTCTCACCACCGGGCCGTGGCTGCGGGCCGCAGGGTGCCCACCCGGCTGGTGGGCGACAGGCCCATTGCGCACGAGGCAATCCAGCACGCGGATTGGGCTTTCCGCGTCGAGCTGGCGTTTCAAGAG